AGAAGCCGATGTCCTGAGTTTCCCATTGCACCAGCCTCCGCTGCGCCATCGGTGCATCGCGAAATCTCCTGCGGTGTGGCTTCCGGCGCGTGCTTCCTCAGAAACGGGCGATGTTGACACGGGTAGCGGCCGCTGTCATCTTGGACCTGCGACACTCGCGCTGATACAGGCGGGTCGCCGGGCGCAACACCTGGACAACTGTACAACATCGACCGCATCTTCAATACCGCCCAACGGACCCAGCCGCCTCGCTGCTGTCGAAGCACGTCACTCCCGAAGCCACACGGACATTAGTTGTTCCCGGTGCGTGTGCCGAGAAGAGACGGTGAGCTGTGAAACCTCGTGTCCCAACCTCCACCCGGCCAATACCCCAACGCGCATATCCGCGGTATCTCCCTTTATGCCAATAGTTATTCACTGTGTACCAGAGCACAGAGGTCCTGCGTCCTGCGTCCGTTGCTCGTCGTGTGGTCTTAGTCCTGCAGCAACTTAGCGGCCTTGTCGCGCAACGCACGCATAGTCAGGCACACTGCCGACCACACTTACTGGGTACGGGACGGATCGCGCGCTCCATATCAGACTGCTCGATGATCTGGCACCATACGGGAAAGTATGGGCTGCGAACATATGCACACGATACGCCTTTGACGACGAAGGCGACTCTGAGGTGGCCACGTTCGCCTGCATACAACTAATCCACATGGGTGCGCTTGTGCCCAGCGTGCATTCGCCCAACACATACACCCACTGCCTATGCCCATATATTGTCATCCTCCACTAATGTGTTGCAAAATGCGGGCACTAACTGCCAGCACATCAAAAGCCTCTAGACCTCTACTTGGGGCAGCCTTATTTGGGCTTGTCACAGTGTAAGCGGTCGACTCTGCCCGAAGGGTCCCGCTGTACTTCATCTGCAGACCAGGGCACCTGGACCCAAGTCGTCCTTCAAGGCTCTCACGTTTCTCGCTCTGTTACGCTCATTCTCTTTGTTTGTTTTTTGCACATCGTCACAAGCCCACACGAGGCGAGTCCACAGTCGCTGCAAATATCTAACATTCCTCGAGGACGCTCTTCGTTGGTCACGCGCCGACCACCTGCACGCAATGCAGCACGCCTCGAACTCGCCATGGCGGACGCCTGCGATGCAATATCCCAAACCCCAATACAGCCTCCAGCACACCATATCCATGGTCAACCTCCGAGACGATGATCAATCGTGGTACAACAACCGTGAGAACGCATCTCCAACAGTCTCGTCCGCCTCATCCGCCACCAGCCGAAGCACAACGCCCACAACAACGAACAACAACCCGTGGTCGAACGTAATGGTCAGCCCAGCTTCGACATATTCCAACAAGTCGTCCGACTCATCGTCGCCCAAAGGCAGCCCAAAACATACCCCGCAATACACCAGCCGATCGACAACGCCCCAGCCCATCGCTCCCCAGCCAATAAGGGTCATTAATCCGGTAGCAGGATTTGCGCCCATGTCACCGCCTCCCTCAGCTTCTGGCGAGTCGTTCAGGAATGGCGATTACCCGGGGTCACCCATGAACCCATACCGACAACCTGCTGCTCCCCTTGTTCCGTTGGTAAATGGATACATCAACACATCAATTTTGTCATCACAGGGTCAGTCTCTTTCCGGGTGGTTCTACGAGCTCGTGCGAAAGCAGGGATGGGATGCTGGCCTAGTCAAGAAGATATGGCAGTGGACGTTGTCGAATCCTAGGCTCGCAATCCTCTTGTTCGTTTGCGACGATGTTGCATCATGGCGACAGGCTTCCTTCTTCGATCTTCGAGATGAGAGCTTGCCATTTCCGGAGGACCGTCTCCAAGGCATTGTGGGTAATGCGCGCAAAGTTGTCGATGAACAATGGCGTGCCACATCCAAGGAACTACCGTTGACGGGAGCACATGTCGACTACACCGCACGCGAAACAGTGCCACTACAGCACATCAGTCTCATTCGATCGTCGCGCAATTCTGAGAAGAGCGTCGACTGGGTCAAGATGCAAGGCAGCAGCGAGGATCGTGTGCTTGTGCGAAAGCGCTTTGTCACTGCTCGCTCCGCTCAAAAAGCTGCGCTATTGGACCAGATCAACAAGTTCAAGCAATATGAGCACAAGAACATTGCGAAGTTGCTTTGCTCGTATGCCCAGCCCAGTCATGTTGGCATCATCACGGAGAAAGCACAATACACTCTGGACGACTTCCTTGCGCTCCCTGGAAGCGACCCAAACCGTTCGAAGTTGCTGGTGGACTGGATGGGTGACTTGTCGTCCGCTCTTGAATATCTCCATTCGCAGTCCATCTGTCATCGAAGCATCCGGCCTCGCAAAATCTTGATTGATGGTGCGCGCATTCTGCTTGCTCCATTTGACATTGGGCAGAGCATCGATACATTCAGCCCGACAATGGCCAACTCTCAACGCCTGGACCAGCTACACACATATTTCCAAGATCAGTCCTACGTCTACGCTGCACCTGAGGCTATTGTCTCACGCGGCAAGAGAATGGCAGACGTTTTCTCGCTGGGTTGTGTTTTCTTGTCGATGATGACAGTCGCACAAGGCCAGTCACTATCAGTGTTTGCCCAGTACCGGGCTGCGAACACTCAGGACGCCTCATACCATGCACATCTCGACCGGGTGGCAAGTTGGCGAAACCGGCTCCACGCTGCCACCACCTCGAACCTCCGAAACGGACTCATCGGATCTGGAAGGAAGCTAAGGCAGTTGAAGGCGGAAGCCGACTGGCTGACCATTATTGAAAAGATGCTGCTACCAGGACCAAAAGAGAGGATCAAGATGCGCTTTGTGCTGGCCAGCCTAAACAGCGGCAAAGCCACAGGCGGAAGACGACGTAGCTTGGACGGCGGCGGTTACAGTGGACAGGCAGCAGCATCACTCGGCGTCAACGGTGCAACAACCGCGACGCTGGTCGACATTTCGGAGCATCACGCGCCCCGAAAACCGGAGCTAAGCGTCTTCGATGGCTATTTCCAGACGCAGACCCGCAGGTTAGAACCAGCGGGTGGTTGGTAATCGGAAACTTCGGACAGCGTGTCAAACATGGACGCACGCTGAGGTGATACTTGGCAAAACATGTTAGACATCGGCTTTTGATGTTGTCGGGCGATTGGCATGCCGAAGCCAATGTTGAGTGTGAAACTTGACAGCTCGGGATGAGACGGAGCCCTACAACGCCTCAGACACGACTTCAACGAGAATACGCCGATGATGGGCGATAGGCAAAGAGCCCTTTTTTACTTTCTTCATATCTTGTCCGTACTGGATTTGGGTCGGACCTTTGATACCCCTTCTTGCGACCCCATTTGGATGATTCACTTGGTAAATTCTTTCTTTTCATTTGCTCCTCATTCCATAGCATTCTTATTAGCGGCGCGGCATCCAGCGAGCATCTAGAGCAATGATCACAAGTTCCCTTTTAGCTAAGAGGACGCCATTCACGCAACCGTTGAACGCTAGTAATTTGTCTTTCTCTGAGTCTGTAGATCACTCACATGTCCCCGGTATTCCCAATGAAGTTCTGTCCTCGTCTATCCGCTTGGCTTCATGTTCGGGCTCAAAACAGATCAGTCGTTTGCGGTCGTGATAGACGAATATGATGATCAAGAGAGAACCTCTCACTTCTGGAGAGGTGTCCTAGTGTTACATGGCGCTACACCGGTTGCAGTCTAGAGTCGTTGTCTCTCACTTTATCAAGCGCATGGACACCGACACCATAGCAACACTATCAAATTCCAATACTCAAAACCAACTCTACCCTTAATCCATTCACATCCGCAATGGTCGACCGCACACCTGCACCCCGAAAGCGCGCCACTCCCAAGTCTACCGGCGCTGAAGACGCACAAGGTCGGCTTCTAGTCAGCATGTTGTTCCAAGTGAGTCTTCCAGGAGCATAACACACATGTGACTAAATTTGATAGGTCTATCTATCTCACGAGGAAGATAGTTTTACAAAGTACAACGAGTTCATGGACGCGGTGAAGGAGGCTGAAGGCGCCGAGATCTTGTTTGTTGCGCCCATGGAACCATTTTTCAGGTACCAACCACAAAAGGATGACGTGGCTTTGCGACTGACAATTCCATAGCTACAAGGTCGATGCTGGCTACCCAGATCCGTTGAAGGAGCTTGTCGACTTCGATACCTTTGTCGACTTTGGAGAGTACAAGGAATACAAGGAGACTGCGGAGCCGACCGTACCGGCGCTTGAGTAGAGCTATGATATCATCCAGATAAGACTTGAACGAAGCCTGAGTGAGGCTTGTACCCAAGACTTACTCAAGCCCCGCTCAGGTCTTGTTCAGGTCTCACCTAGGCATCTATTCAGGAAGTTGAAGCAGGGTAAGCAAGGGCGGCGGAACTGAGGGAAGTCAAAGACAGAGAACACATCAATTGAGTGTAACTAAACAATGTGAACTTGGTGTGAATAGCGAAGTAGAGTGCTCGCTGGCACTTGCATCGTCTACATCGTCGTCACCAATTCCTCCCCCCTCAGGTCGTGCGAACATCTGACGATCAGGGAAAGAGCGGATGCACGAGCGAAATACGCTCGGCTCTTGAAGAGACGCATAGAATTGAACGGTCTGACGATTTGGATGTATGCACGGAATTGCCTTCAAGTGAGCGCGCACTGGAACGTTGTGGTTAACACGGAGATGTTCCTTGTGCGTGGATGGAGGTCAGACCGTGGCTCCTTCCCCAGGACGCAGACGCGACATCCGTTCAGCACCTGACATCATCGACGCGTCGGTAAACAATGGTCACCCACCAAGGCCGCAGTAAGCACTCGAGCACTTGAGAAGCCCCGGTACCTTTCCTCCTCACTTCCACTCACATCCACCCACACCACAATCAAGCGACGTTCTCGCTTCCATTGCTTCCCTTCGCATCCCGCTTGCTTCCAACTTCATTCAATCTAGCTCGTCTTTACTCGTCTTCGCTCTTATTTCCAATGTCGTCGTCTCGCCATGCCGTACAATTCAAGGCTAACCTTGCCGTCGCTGCCGGTGTAATGACATGGGCAGCAGCTATGTCACTCGAGCCCCTCAAAGAAGACTTCATCAAACAATTTCTGGACCGACTGGACAAGCCGGTGATCTTTCACAGCCAGACCACGCTCTCAATTGCCGCTCTACGTTACTTCACAAAGCCACTCTTCGCAGACACACACGCTGCAATCTCGAAGGTCGCTGATGCTGACCTGACTACCGCGATGGGTTGGTTCGTTGCCCTTTGCGTCAAGAAAATGCTGCAAACTGGCGCCATCTCTTGCACCAGTAGCCAGCCAGGAAGCATCGCCGATGACAACTCACGTCCACTGAAGCGTCCTCGTATCGACCATACGAATGAAGAGAAGCTCGGCACCACCACTGTTACTGTTTCACATAGCCTCAGAGCTCCACACGTCCGCGTGTATGTCACCGAGAAGGAGACCCGTATGGTGGATGCGAGTACTCAGTCGGCGCCTGCCTCCCAAGATGAAGAAGACGACCCACTCATTCTGTCGGATGACTTAAGTGAGTACCAAATGATTTCTTCTGGTGTATCTCCATTGACATGCTCAGGTGATGACAAAACACAGCTACTTGAAGTAGTAAATACGTTCGTCCATGCGTACGCCCCGTATGCCGCCGAGAACGAACCGGAGCAAGAAGTCTCGTCTCACCTGGGCTGCTTTCTGACGAAATGGTGCCGCGACATGGGCTTGGACGACGACTGGCAGGACAACAACTATGAGCGACTGGTAATGGTGATCAAGGCCTTATACACAGGAAGTCCGCGCGCGCTGGTGTGGTAATGACCTCGCCAGTTAGGAGCAATATCTCTGCCAATCGAAAGCAACATCGGATCTTGGCCTTGAGTGTCTTCATTGACACTGGTGGACAACTTCGCATGACCGTTCGGTGTGGTGAATGGGATGTTGACGCAGGCCATCATGACGTTATTAAGCATGCTACATCAAGATGTTGTCGCACTTCCTTTCATAATCATGTTGCACTCGTTATATGTAGCTGTTGCCACCAATGAAACTTGCTTTGCTCAAAGTCATTGCCGTTGACGTGCCGCTAATAATTTTTTCCTAAACGCTAGGGCTAGGTCGCTGCTAATGTTGTAGCTACAGAGTTCCTTAATCTTATACTATAGCTATAGAGAAAGTAACTTATTATTAAGAAGAAGAGTAAAAGTAGGTAATAAGTTAGAGTTATTAAGAATTTAACTTAAAAAAAAGGCTTTATAGCTATTAAAGCGTGTAGATATTTATTTAGTTAGTAATATATAGTAGTAGTAGTAGAAATAAAGAAGTACTTACTAATATAGTAGGTAAAGTAGGTGTTAAAGAATAAAAAAATACTTTTAAGAACTTTTATTTATTACGCTTAGTATACGTCTATACGCTCTTAGTACTAACTTATACTTAATAAACGCTTATAAATAAGTATTATATTAATAGATTATAGTACTAAAGTAATCTTTAGTAAAAAAAATTAAAAATATTAAAATATTAGCTTAGAAGCTTAGCGCGCTAAGCCTTTATAATTATTTAACCTACTTAATTACAAGTAGGCTGCAGAGGCTTTGCACTTTATACTTATCTTTATATATATATACTGTTGCTTGCAACAAATACTCGATAAATTCAATTACGTGCCGCTGATGATGATGATTTCGTAGAGCTCACAATGTATCCGGAAGCGTACAATGTCTAATGCATGTTCAGATGCTACCGTGGATCACGATGACTAGCTCCAGGCTAATAGTTCAAACTACTGTGGTGTCAGCTGCCACGGCCATGTGTTCCTAGGAGAATGTGACGATTTCATCACTATCACAAAGCAAGAAGTTCCTGCACTCGAGCTCGTGAGAAAAGGCCACTTGCGTGTGTAGTAATAACGGTCTATACAGATCTATCCTACAGACGCGAAGCTACCCACTCCGTCCGCACCAGCCAAGCTAGCTATGCAAATCAAGAAGCAGTCACCCTCACTCGTCGCAGCAACTATCCAAGATGTCTCTTCGCGAAAGCGCAGCACACTGAAAGACACAGTCTATCCAGCATGTTCCACAATCTCACTGACAAGCTTACCATCCTTGACATAGCTTCTGATTTGCTCGGGCAACGGGTTCTCAGCGTAGTCATCTTCGGTCGGCAAGTTGATGTTGATACTACTGCACTTGCTTGTGAAGACCTCGGTTGCTAGCGAGTCCTTGGATAGGTATACGGTTGCGCCGTCGACTTGGTCGAGGAGGATGGTGGGGAGGGTGCCGAGGACCTGCAGCGCAAAGTTGGGGCACTTGATGACGTCTACGGAGCTGACTAGCGAGTCGATGATGAGGGATGTGCGGGAGGAGTTGTCGAGTGAGAGCGCGTTGGCTTTGCCGTTGATGCGGATGGTGGTGTTTTTGCAGCGCGAGATGAGGATGGAGTGGTTGATTTCGGCGTCGATTTCGAGCGTCTCGCCTGGGGAGTCGAAGTTGTCCTGTGGAGGTGTTAGTGCTGAGTTTGGCACTCGTCTCCAGTCATCTCAGATACATACTATTATCCACTTGTTTCCGTCCAGCTCCTTCTTCGGTGGCTTCTTCGTCCGCATGCTCTCCGGCTTCTTAGCTTTGGGCGGCGCAGGACTCTTACTCCTGAGACTGTCGTTGCTGTCGCTTCGTGTAGGGACCGATGCGCCTGCCCGCAATGATGGGTTCTTATGCGTCATCTGGCTTGGGTCGACCTTCTTAAGCCCCTTTGTAACATCTGAGCCCTTGTTGAGATCGCCAAAGACAGCATTCATGTCGGGCGCGGCCTTCTTAGCCACTGGTGCGGCACCTGGTGGCGGCGGTGGGCCCGGTGGTGGTGGAGGACCAGGCGGTGCTGGGACGCCTCCTGCTGGAGGAGCGGGTGGTGCTGGAGGAATGTTGGACGCGCCAGAGAGAGGTGCCGAGGAGATCTCCTTTGCGGCATCTTTGGCATCGATGCCGTTGCTGTTCCAGGCTACACCTGTAGCGTGGTGCTTCTTTGCGTATTCGGCGAGAGCCTTGAACAGCTTGTAGTAGGCTTGCACCCACTTGACATGGGCTTCACCGTCGGGCCTGGATCTGTCAGTGCTTGCTCGCGTAGAACGGTAGAAAGTCTTACTTGTCCCGGTACTCCTTAAGCACTTTGTTGCCGTACATCTGAGCTCCTCCGAACAGCTCGTTGATGTGCTCATGGGGCTTCATGCCTCCGCCCTGGCCAATTGTCACCCACCCAAGTGACCCAACACCGTCGGCGACCATGGAGACGGAGTCCTTGAGCGCAGGGTCGCGGTTGCTCTGTCGGAACTCGTCCGTCTTCTCCATGCTCGCCTGGAGGTCCTTGAGCAGCTCCATGAGCGTGCGGTCGTCGGGCTTCTTGGCCTTGTTCGCGATGAAGAGGAATTGGCGCTGGGCGGCGAATGCGCCCTCGACGGCTTTGGACTGGCCCTCAATGACGCTTCCCAGCTTGCTGCTTAGGTCCAGCCAGTTCTTCAGGTCCGAGCTGACCAGCTCATCGAATGCCTCAATCGCCGGTGGTGCGCTTTCCGCGACGAGTTTGGGGGTGCTGGCGCTTGTGTTGGCCGCCGTCACGCCTGGAGTGGCCTCGGTGGACGCTCCATTGAGGCTGGCAGCTCCATCACCGCTGCTGGGGAGGGAGGTGCTCGCGATGTCTTCGAGACGCGAGGTGGCCGCTTCGAGCCTGCGGACCATGTTCGTCAGTACATTGTCTGCTGCGAGCTGTATTTGCCCCTGTCGACCGAGGATGTGTGCTTGTTCGGGCCTGGGAGCCATCGTGGGGTCGTTTCATAGAAGATGCGGGATGCGCAGAGTGTGGTAGGACGATGGGTTCGGGTGCTAGTAGGTGATAGTCTCGGACGGAAGGCACTTACCGCTTGATCAGCGTCGTCAGGTTATTCATGTTGTTCGCCATGTGGAGAAGGCACGTCGCAGCGTTTGCAAGGTAGGACAGGTATCTTGAATGCTCGGGGAAGGGGCAGCCGCGGCACGCTGCAGCTCGTGCGACGCGATTTGGCTGGTTCGGAGTAGAGAGAGACCGTGATCCAGCAATCCAAGCTCTCGATGATAGGAATATGAGGACTGTCGGAGATATTTAATTGGAAAAGCACAATTGCAGGCAGAACCTCACTGGGTCAGCTCTCCCCGGCGCATCCATGGATGGCCACGGCTGCCCACGTTGCGCTAGCCGTCTGCAGCCAAGCCTGGTCCGTTCGAGACATGCACGTCAGCGGCAGACTATCAACCTTGCGATCTACGCAAGGCGACATGGAAACATCCAACATGGCCGACACAGAAAACGACCACTATGGCAAGATCGACTTTTGCACGCTGGGGATGTTCATCATCGGTATGCATCAAGTCTGCATTAACACATTCATGTCACTGAAACTGTCAAGATGAGATTGAGTTTCCCCCACCAAAGCCGCCAGTCAAAGACATCGTAGGCGGAGCTGGATCATATTCCGCATTAGGCGCACGCATCTTCTCCCCGCCGCCACAATCAGAGTCTGTGGGTTGGATTGTAGACTGCGGGTCTGACTTCCCACTTGAACTGCGCGACTTTATTGCACAATGGAAGACTGGTGCACTGATACGTAAGACGCCTAATCGGCTGACTACACGAGGTTGGAATGGATACACTGGTGAAAACGAGCATCGAGGTGAGTGTCTGTGTTACCAGTGAGGGATCACATGTCTAATCACTCTGGTGAAGCTTTCCGATACTTGACGCCGAAGCTGCGCGTTGACCATGAGGATCTGAAGAATACAGATCTCTTGTGGTCCAAGTCCTTTCATCTGATCTGTTCCCCGTTACGTTGCATCGACCTGGTTGAGAACATCATTGCATTGCGCAAGCAACACCCTAACTCGGCTCATATTCCTCGTCCAATATTCATCTGGGAGCCTGTTCCTGATCTTTGTACGCCCAAAGAGTACGATAACTGCCTGAAGGCGCTAAAACATGTCGATATTGTCAGTCCGAACCACGGGGAACTTGGCGGCTTCTTTGGCAAGAACACCGACGGAAAGGATCGTGTGGAATTCCGAACAATCGAAGAGCTATGCGGTCAGTGGCTAGACAGTGGTGTGGGAAATGGCAATGGTGGGGTCGTCGTGCGTTGTGGGAAAGACGGTTGCCTGGTTATGCGCAAAGGGTCAGGCAACAGGTTGCGCAAATGGATGCCTGCGTACCACCAGTCAGCAGAGAAAGTGGAAGATCCTACAGGAGGAGGCAACAGCTTTCTCGGTGGACTGGCAATCGGCCTGGTTCGGGTACCAGGACATCTCGAGGAGGCTGCGATCTGGGGATCCGTTTCGGCGAGCTTCGCCATTGAGCAAGTTGGTATGCCCGTTCTCTCACAAGAAGCAGACGGGGAGACATGGAACGGAGTTCGCGTCGAAGATAGGCTTTCAGATTTCAAACAGCGCCTGGCTAGTTATGTACAGCCATAGTTGTGGTCGCTGTTCCCTCACCCCCACTCCCAACCAATCTAACCTTCAAGAGTCTTTTCGATGATGCTCTGGTCTTGTTTCCGCTCGTGTTCCCGAATCTGTTTGGTCCAGCTGTCTGTTGTTAGCTTCCAAGTCTGATCTGAGGATATCCGTGGATGTCGTACTATCGGCTGGGGAAGAATCGGTGGCGTTCGGGCATCTTGTCGCGGTACTCGCGGTTTGCGCTGAGCATCCAGGCCATGCCGACGATGCTGCCGAGGGCGAGGCCTACGACGGCCGTGTTGGCTTTCCAGTTGGCGGGTTGGGCGTACCAACCACCGGCCGGCGACCAGACGTGCTTGGGGTATCTAGTCGACGTCAACTCTGCACTGGCAAGCGATTGGCGGGCTGTTCATACGGGATCTTTCCTCCTCCGCCCATTGTAAAGGTGGTTGTGCGGGTTCGTGGGGTTGCTGTTGCGGAGCTGCCCTGAGGTCGCTGTCGCATGGGAGGGCTAGCACGGGCCCCGAAGCTTGGCGGAAATTCTTTGGCAGTCGCGATCATGACCTGTGTGAACATACGACCGGCCAATTGCTGCTGCTGCCGACTCCGCCTCTCCTGATTCTGCTGCCGTCTTCTCCTACATTTTGTCTTAATGAAGCGGATACCCATATCACGATGCGCCTCGCAATTGCTGGGTGCACCCTCGCCACGCCGGCCCTCGTGCACATACACAGCGGCAAAGAACGTGCGGAGAAGCATTATACCTCATAGCCACCGGATACAGGCTCGGCTCCAGAGCACAGTAGCAATTCCGGACGACGGTGAATTGGAGCTCGAGATTGCCGCAAACTCTGCCACACCGTCAACGTCGACACCCAGACCAAGAAGGCGCTTCCCGCTCGAGAGCCTCCCATCTCCACATCCCAGTGCCGCCGAACGTTCGACAAAATTATACGCCCTCCGCAGTCGATTATCTCTCCCACCTCGCTTTCCCCTCCCGGTTCTCGCACGAACCCTCATCCACCCCTCCGCCGACCCAAACCCCGCCTTCAATAATGCCTCGCTATCAATACTCGGACGCCAGCTGCTTGGCTACTACACTTCCGAGTGGCTTCTATGCAACTACCCACGCCTGCCAATGGACGTCGTCTTCGCCGCAACAGAGGCATACATCGGACCGAGAGCGTTGACCACAATCGCAAGCGAATGGGGTATCGAGGCGGCGGCGGAGCCGGGTGGTGAAGTCGACCCTGGCTTATTACAATTCAAGAGGATACAGTCGGGCGATGCCCTCCCAGCAGAGTTGAGGCGGCAAGCACCCTGGAAGTGGAATATCACCACCACACACAAGATCATGAAGACAGACGAATTTGGCTCCGACAATGCCGCACCCAGCCCGCACGCGCTACAAAGCACGCCAGTACCACTGGAAGAGGCAGCACAGTCCTTCGTCCGAGCACTCATCGGCGCATTACACGTACACCTGGGCTCCCCGCTCGTCAAGCGCTTTTTCCGTGACCACTTCCTGAGCCGACATCTCGACATCAGCACGATTTTCGACTTCAGAATGCCGACACGCGATCTTTCACGGTTATGCGCACGAGAGGGCTTCGAGCCACCGGTCGCCCGATTGATCTCAGAAACTGGTCGTCTAAGCAGACATCCTGTGTTCGTGGTTGGGGTATACAGCGGAAAGGACAAGCTAGGAGAGGGATCAGGCAGTTCATTAGATGAGGCCAAGACAAGAGCAGCGGCAGCAGCATTGAAGGCATGGTACCTATACAAGCCGGTCGAGGTCACCGTCCCAAGCAGCATGGAGGGCGAATTGGATACGAGCAAGTGGCGGCCGAACCACGTCGACCACGGAGAGGTCATTGTGTAAGATACGCGGCATCAATCCCACTTTTGGAGTTGTAGGGATATACTTTTGGCATGCATGGCATGGATGGACGGCATACTCTTCGCTTGTACAGATTCATGATAGCGCAGGGGGGCAGGAAAAAGAACTGTGTCGGAAGAAGGCCGGAGAGGAGGGGAAGACTTACCCCACGTTTTGCTACGTCGAGGGTTCAGGACCGCGCGCCCTGCGAGCACTGCGCATGTATCATATGTGGCATGAGGATATCATGATGATCCGCAATGTGTACAATACAAACGAAACGCTGCATCACAATACCCATTGGTTGTATTTTCGGTTATGATTCAGAGCTGGAATGTGATGATCTGTAACTTTCGCCCAGGAATACTCCAGCTCAATATGCCTTTCGTAGGGAGGAGCACGAATCACAAGAGATCAAACTGACGACCGTGACGTACTCAACTTACCCTGCCTTGGCGACGTTCAACTCGTAATAGCTGCAATTGCATCGTCACAGGAACTGCGCGAAGAGAACAACAGAGCCCACAATCCAGCTTCCCTAAAACATCTCTCGCATTCCGGAGTAGTTTCAGTCCTGGTAGATAGCGACTATCTAGGCATTGCAAGGGTTGCTGGGTCGGTGGCGCCGCGCATCCTTGCAACTCCTCTCGCGCGGCACAAATAAGGCCCAACACTTACACGTCGGGTGCGGAGAAGTACGAACCCTTCTCTGGAAACACAAAATCGCCAACAAACATGCCACCAAAGCGCACCGCGACTGCTCGTCATGAGAGGTCCACTGAGGCCTCTGTACGAGCGCACAAGAGGATCAGAATTGAACCAGAAGACCCGCCGCCTGATCCCGTGCCCGATGGCTTGAGGGAAGCCAGATCAGAGATTACCAGGTACATTGAAGCAATGGAACGAGTGCCACTCCGCCGTCGACTTGATGTGCATTGGAAGATTGGTGGTGTTCCTCGCGGCGACCCCGAAAACATCATTCGCGAACTAAATGTCGATCATATCAAAGAAGTAATGGAGCGCGACGCACAAGTCAGCGCAGCGTTCGCGTCGCTCAAAAAGACGTTGGAAGAAGGCAAGCCCGCCCCGGGCATTTACAACCCTTACGTCAAGCACGGCAAGTGGAGTCTTTTCTCAAGCGAAGTCTTTACGGAATTCCTGCTCTGGAATATCGACAACATGGAATTTAAACAGTTTTGCGTAAATCAATGGATCGAGTTTCATGATCCTGACGCAGAAGTGGATTTCATGGACTGCCACTGTGGCCGCCCGGAAAGTTATGGCACTATCGTTGGACCCAGACAGATCAAAGGAGATTTCAAACCGTTTGACTGGCCACAGGAGGCTTCACTCGAGCCCATTGTCGTAAAAACATCGAGTCGGTGTCGGGAAATCAAGATGTGGTTCGCAGGAAATGGGTACATGAGGATGCAATGCGACATGGGTTCCGTAGAGGAGCTCGCAAATGGGCAAGCGAAAAGGGTGACTTGGAATGCGATACAAAACACGAAGGAACACAAGGAGCGTGAACAGAAAGCGTTCATGGCTCGTAGGAGGAGGGAAGATGAAGAATTTCGGGTCAGACAAGCGGAAGCAATTAGGAGACGGGAGAGAGAAGAAGAGCAAGCGCGGGAACAAAAGAAGGAAGATCATAGGCTTTGGGTAAAGAAGAATCAGAGGCGACTGAAGTTGAGGCGGAAATACGAAGATGGCGATATTAACAGTTCAGAGCTGGAGCTGAGCACCGAGGAAGAAGATGACGAAAGCGCCACGGATGCGGAAGAAAGCCGCTCCTCTGCGTCGCCTGAGCCGTGGGATTCGTCAACGGGCGAGGAGGATTGGACTGAGTCGGAGTCGGAAGAGGAGGAGGAAGAGGAAGAAGAGGAAGAGGAGGAGGAAGAGGAAGAGGAGGAAGAAGATTCAGATGAACAAGAGCCCGAATCGTCAAGATTTTAGCGGAAGATCGACTGCCTTCCTCGTTTAGAGCATTATCTGTACAATTTGGCTAGTACTATGACATCATGAGGTCCTCGCAGTCTTTTCAGATGTTGGCATATTCATGTAGACGACAACGTAGTAGACTTCTGAGACACATCTGTCTGTGATCAATTGAAGAAGTACAGGTTATGTAGCCTCCCGAATGTTACATGCGGGCGTGTATTAGCCTTTTTGTGGATGAAGATGAAGATACAAACAACGCAATATGTTTCCAAACCACACTCGAATTTCGTTGGCGAGGTAAAACCAGCACGTGCGGCCACGTGCCCACCACTACGACGCCTTCTCTCACCTTCAAGTAAAGGTAGCAGGTCTGATCGACGGGTATATACTCAACCTCGTTACCGACCTATCTCCCAGTCTCCTACACCACACTCGACATCGTTCATAACTCAGCATCGACTAAAACACAATCCTCAACATGGCCGACTTCGGTATGGTACCTGTCATGGAGATAAACTGCGAGGCTCCCATGTCGACACTCTACACAGAGCTGGACGAACAGGAACAACGCGGTAAGCTTCCTTTCGTCTCCGTTCGATCTACGAATACTGACTGTATATCCGCAGTCACTGCAGGTACTCCAGGCAGCGGCATTAGCACTGGCATTCCAAAGGTGGAAGTCAGCATGGCCAGCGCCAAGAAGGTCGGAAGAGTCATCGCGGCGTACTATGGCACTGTTCCCAATGGTTTCTTGGCCACTGTGGTGGGATTGCACGTCGACGCTGCCAAAACAGCCACCGCCGCAAGGACCTTTCGTAGGATGAAGAGCGACCTCTTTGTCGAGAAGTTCGGCACAGGCTCCTTCATCTACAAGTTCGCTCGCGGCAAGGTCAGCACGTCCGACTTTCTCACCTATCAACACAATTTCGCCATCGAGGCGCGCATCTGTGAGTTCGCGATTCCAAACGAGAATGAGGCCGCCATTGCTCGTCGCGCCGCCAAACGCCAGGCATTACTCGATGCAATAGCATCAAGTGAGCAGGTCTGGATCGACACATACACTGTCGCATTCAACAAGGCTAAAGCGGCACACGAAAAAGCACGTGGTCTTAGGAAAGTCCGATTGGCACGAACACGCGACCTTTGCGAAGAGCTCATGGCTAACCCGCCCCGTTGCGCCGTCGACGTTACGACGCTCCTCAATCGCCGAGCATGCGAACAAGCAAAGATGATCCCGTTGCTGCTCCGTACGATGGACGAACGCGTCAGGTTCTGGTTCGATCACGTCACCAAAGACACAATCGCGTCTCACCTTGAGAAAGCGATGTCTGTGGTCGACATTCGGTGAGTACCTACTTTACGGACATGAACGAGACTTCTTGCACACTACTAATCTCCCACAGGCGCATGTGCATCGATGAAGTCGCGAACCCTCCGGAGGTCATCCCTCCGTTCCACACAATTGTGGGGAACGTGTTTTCGTACTCTTGCGAGCTTCTGCATCGTCTGATCATCGCGCCGGATGATAGCAAGCGTCTGCAGCTGCTGCTCAATGATCGTTCGCTCCGAATGGCAAGCGTCGACATGTCGGGTGACCTGTCCCCCGAATGCTTCGGTCTTATCCGCGGCCTTCGCAACTCTCTGGACTTTGAGGCAGCAGGAAACGGATCATGGAAAGATATTCCTGTCTTGGTCCCAGAGATTCGAGGCAAGAAGCGCTCAGCGCCTGAGGAAGATGGACGGAACACGGACTAGACCTATAGGGGAGCTCTTGGTGCTGTCGGACGGGAAGATGAAGACGTTGCAAACTGCATGCTTGGCACTTGTCGTGACGAGTTCGGTAGATTAGACTGATGGATGACGTCACATGTGTGCCAAGGATGGCCGGTGCTCAATAGAAACGCGTCTCGCGCCTCACAAGTCAGGAAACCACGCGCTATTCTGGCGTCTACATCAATCTATCATCACAAATGCTTCACGTTCCTAGACCATTGTAGCCGCCCAGGTCACAGATGTATTTTGGTAATGCTCTGATGAGCTGTGCTGTAGTAGGCAAAACGAAGCGTTCGCTAGGAAGAAAGTAGCTCCTTCCTCACACAGTGTAGCTCCGCTGTCGCTGCTGCTGCTTGCTCACACCACTCACGGCCTCACGGAGAAGCGGGTGAGCTCACTCACTAGACGCCCACATTGGCGGTACTCAAATTACCGATGAAGATCAGCCCTGGAGGCCGCCCCGGCTCAATTGCACGCGATATCAATCGTGAGATTGGTCAAGCTCATGTACAAGCTGACGAGCAGACCTTCCCGGGGCCAAGGTTGACCTGCCGCTCCATAGTAACACCACGCCTAGAACCGTTGATCAAACCGGAAATCCTGACATTATGCTCACAGTATTGGGGTAAGAGAACCACGTGACCCCGCTTCCTCCCGCGATCAGGTAAAGGCAGTGGGCTGGGTGGGCGGGTGTATACTTCAGTTCTGCTGCTGACTTGACTTCCAGTCTTCTACACTCTTTTCTCAACGGCATCATTACAATACTCTTTTTCTAACCACATCGTTCGTTCACCACACCCTTCGCCACAATGGCAACAGTACCAGTGAACGTCCCTCCGGAGATCTACCCCGAGGTCCCCGCATTCACTCTATGGTCTGAGCTCGTGGAGCAGCAGCAGCGTGGTAAGGTTGACCGGCAATACTGTGTATCTTACAATGCTAACTGTGTATCCTCTGTAGTTCCAGCAGGGTCACGCAATAGTGGCTTCAACGTCAACGACCCTGTATGGCCAGTCAACCAAGATACCGTAACCGCGAGGGGAAGACTTCGGTCTGCATACTACGGCACGGTGCCGATCGACATGGGCCATGCGATTGCGGGTTCACCAGATGACGAGTTGTCACAGGATCATGCGAAAGTTCTTACCAATATTGCTCGAAACACGGTCCAAACAGAGCGGTACGGTCCGAAGTCATTCATTCAAAGGTTCCTCCGCGGAAAGTACAGTACCATCGAGGTGAAGACACTTGCTACGAACTGGAGCTTGGAGGCGATTGTGTGTCAGTTTGCAGTTCCAGGCGAAGACCAAGCAGCAAGAGATATCCGAAACGCAAACCGCGAGGTATATCTCCAGGGTGTCCAAGACCTCGAGCAGCTATGGGAACGTGAGTACACTCATGCTTTGGAGTCTGCTGATTCGGCTGCTGCTGGTGCCCGCGGTCTGGACAAGAAGCGGCTGGAGCGCGCTCGCGAACTCTACCGGGTGATGAAAGACGCGCCCCCGGTCTTTGACATTGACCCACCCAATGGTGACCCGTACTGGGAGTCAGCAGCCGAGTGCCAACAGGAGAAGCTGGTCCCGTTCATGAACCGGGCCAAGATTGATCGTCTGAGGACGTACGAGGGGTACTTCACAAAAGACATGGTCGCATCTCATTACAACACTATCATGAACATCGTGGACATTCGGTAAGTGTTCGATTCCGGTTCAGCATGTGGCATTGCTCAGTTTAACTAACATTGTTCAGTTGGCTTGGTGAGAACTCCAACATCCACGGCATCCCCCAGTTCTGGTCGATGATCGTCAATCAATGGACACACACTTGCGATCTTGTACTCAGACACGTAACGGACCCTCAGCTCGGCATTCGTAGGGAATTGTTGATGATAGATCCATCACTCCGCGCGGCCGCCTACCACCACTGGTCAGACCGAAGCCTTGAGTGCTTCCAGCACATCCGCCGACTCTTCAACCGCCTCGGGTACAATGTCGGCTACGGTGAATGGAAAGATATCGGGATTCTGAGCGTGGGTCACCGAGGCAGGAAGCGAGCGAGGACCGACGAGTGAAAGGCACGTCGCAAAGCGCCGTTTGAATTGACAGGTGATGGTTTAATGTACGGAGTGGGAATGGACTGAGACGACGACATTGCGTCGGGTCAATGCCACGGTATTTTCCTTTATTGCGCGCGAATACTACGACGGAGTTAGCCCCGATGAGACGAACGAGTGATTTGACTTTGGATGCGACGATCCTTCCCGAGCCACCGGAGTCTTTGCCCATGCAAAACCATCAATCCCCATCAATTCGCATCGAATGACCGTCGACCAATCTTTGATGCATATCAACATCGCGTTATCGTTCAGCGAATACATTATATGTGGCGGCGAAACAAATAAGTGCAAACGAGGCCGTTCAGCTTGCGACGAGCCACCAACCATCGACGGCGATATCGCGGCGGGAGTCGTACGCCGGAACTCACCCCGACGAGACGAAATCATGTCCGAGCTGTGACACGCGCTTCAAGTCACCCACAGGATCGGTCGACCACGTTGCAGTACAAGCTCTGGGTGGTGTGCGTTGCTCCATCTACCTGCTTCTCGCAAACACACCGCCCACGACAACTTCATCCCCCTGGGCTGTGCAGCTTCTTATCAGTACATCTTTTCTGCCCACTAGCATACGGCGGCGAGTGCGCAGCACTATGCAACCACGACTCCGGAAACTTGAACACACGGCGCAACCTCCAATAACCACTATGCAGGAGGCCCTGAGATCCATCACGGTCGCTCTTTGTGGACCTTCAAGCAAGTTCGAGTCCAACCATCGTCCGGTTCACCACACAGCACTCACCGGCTCCAGGTTGTATACGAAAACTGAACAACGCGCATCAACAGCTGCAGGCCATCGGGGTCTGATCATGTTCACCAAAACGGCAGCCGGAATCGATTGAGATGCTGCGTGCATGTTGAGACTATGCTTTGTCAACAAGTCTAGTCCTACAGGGACCGGAGCAGACACAAGTGTGGTAGATATTTTCATTCTCGTTCGGAGAAACATATACTAACACATTTCTTTACAAGCATTTTCCCATCTTGCCGATGCAATAGCTGTCATTAGCGCGGCCTTGCTTTCGACGCTTTGGGATGCTACTGCTGACCTCGCTCGACAGTAGCAGACACTGGGAACCTGTGCACGGGGATTGTCGGTCACTCCACATCAGAAAGAACGGGGATATATTCAAACAACTATTACACGACGAACAAGTTTCTCAAGTCGCTCGGATACCTCCAGGATGGCTCACGAACAATCACGCTCATATCACAGAGACCAATGTGTACGTCCAGACGCCGGTCTTTCTTTGATCACTGATCAGATTGTTTTCATCCGTATCTACATTATGAGGAAAAAGATATACTAAAGGAATCATCCAGGTTACTCGCGCCACCAACTCTTCTGCCCCCTAACATCTATCGTGGCAAGTCCAAAGGGTGCAATGTCCGTCTAGTTGTTCTGCTTGTTCTTGCCGCCGGCACCTCCAGCCTTTCCTCCCTTGCCCTTGTGGTGAGGCTCAGGCATAGCCTCACGGTTGTTGAGCTTGGCCTTGCCGCCAGCACCGCCAGCACCTCCGGCCTTGCCTCCCTTGCCCTTGTGGTGCGGCTCAGGCTCGCGTCCGAAGAGCTTGGCCAAACCGCCAGCACCAGCACCACCAGCACCACCAGCGCCACCAGCAGCCTTACCTCCCTTGCCCTTGTGATGGGGCTCGGGGACAGCCTCGCGGTTGTTGAGCTTGGCCTTTCCACCAGCACCACCAGCGGCCTTGCCTCCCTTGCCCTTGTGGTGTGGCTCAGGCTCACGTCCGAAGAGCTTGGCCAAACCGCCAGCACCGGCTCCGCCAGCACCTCCAGCCTTGCCTCCCTTACCCTTGTGATGGGGCTCGGGCACGGCTTCGCGGTTGTTGACCTTTCGGCCACCAGCTCCGCCGGCAGCCTTGCCGCCCTTGCCCTTGTGGTGGGGAGAGCGAGTGTGGAGGTCGGCCCAGTGAGCGTCGTCCTCCTCCTGGGTGAGCTCTTCGGCCTGGCGGTTGTTGAGCTTGCCTCGGCCACCGGCACCTGCACCTCCAGCAGCTTTTCCGCCCTTGCCCTTGTGGTGAGGGGAGCGAGTGTGGAGGTCGGCCCAGTGAGCGTCCTCCTCTTCTTGGGTCAACTCTTCAGCATCACGGCCGAAAAGCTTGGCCAAGCCGCCAGCGCCACCGGCTCCGGCTCCAGCACCTCCAGCTTTTCCGCCCTTGCCCTTGTGATGAGGAGAGCGAGTGTGGAGGTCGGCCCAATGAGCATCGTCCTCTTCCTGGGTCAACTCTTCAGCATCACGGCCGAAGAGCTTGGCTAAGCCACCAGCGCCGGCGCCACCGGCACCAGCACCGGCACCGCCAGCCTTTCCACCCTTGCCCTTGTGGTGACGGGCTTCGACTCCACGGTCTGCAAGGGCAGCAACGAGGTTGGATGTGTGGACAGGTCCGCTTCCCTGGAGAACTGTAAGTATATGACATGCCAAGGATCATCGCATAACTTACTGGCATGCGTGCCTTGACAGCATTGTCAACGGCTTGCTTGTTGTTTGGCACAACGTAGGCAGAGGTTGAGGCACCCAGGGCCAAAAGAGTAAGTGCGGTAAATCTCATATTGAATAAAGTTTAACTGAGTCTGGAATCGGTTGAAAGAATGGATCTGCCAGCAGAGAAGAATGGATGAAACAGAACTGAGCAGGATGTGAGAAGGAATGAGCACGTTCAACGTTGATGCCTTTTACTTCTGGAGCTTCGAGATGCTTTATAAGTCAACTCGACTCCTGGTAGGCACGGCGGTTGCATGCTTGCTCACTCTCGCCTTCAACTCCTGAGACATGTTGCATTGCCTACGGCACAGAAGCGGAGGTGGCACCCCACCTGCCGCCTGCAGGAAGCCACTGTGCTCGCTTCGATGCGATGGCGATGGAAGGCGTTTGCATGGGAAGCCAAACACAGAAAGTCTTGACGGCCTGGCGTCTCCACCAACGACACCGCCAGCCGTCGACAAGGCCTGTCGGTGTCTCGAGAACACGGTCATGTCCAACCCAGCCGCCAGGCTACGAGGTCCTGCCTCAGGCTCCGCGACAACACCCACCGGGTACCTTTCGCGCATCGCCAATGCGATCTGGAGCTTGCTTTGATAGAGACTGTTGGTCCTCGGGAACTGACCACTCATTTGGTCGAGACTAGTCCAGAAAGGGTTTAACCTCGGAAACCATTGGCGCGCAGCCGCGGTCCTGTTGTTCCAGCCCTGGCAACTTTTGACGTTATTTCCGTTGTTCTGTCATCATGCAGTTGGGACGTTTGTTCCATGTGCGTGTCATGTCAGTGTAAGAATCTCGTTTTGGCTGGCGCGCCAAGCTGAAACGATGGTGCCGAATTATGAACATCCAGTCTTGGCTAAGTGTCCACTTCGAAACCCATGCAACAGGTGAACCAACGAAAAAGCGGCGACGATCCCGTCTTCTGCGTCTCAGAAGGCTTGGTAAAAGCTTGATGCCTTGGAGCAAGGCTAATGTTGCCTGGGCAGATGGAACAAGACGCCTTGGAGAAAGCGGCCTGCACGGCATTGCGGCACCCTTTGAGATGTTCCGTGTTTCGGTGACCTACCCATGGCGATACCGAGAACGTATCGGGGGTCGATGTTAGCAGGTCTACCATAGTCTTTCGCGCCAACGTCTCCCACTTACTCGCTCGCTGGTCTTCCATCTCCATTCACCTTCGTCTTGTTCAAGCGTTGAGCGCAGCATTCTATTCTCTATCGCAGGTCGACTAATACTTCTTCTTTCAATATCACTTTATTGTGCCTTCACTCCATTCATTGTATTCTTCGCGCTATCGAAAAACATCATGGAAAAATACACCGACTCCAGCTCATCGCAAGGCGATGCCGAGAATACCGCTTTTATCACAACACCCTACCAAAGCGATGATAGGCAACGGCGGAGAAGCTACATCTATCTCACACTCTTCAACCTGTTCCTTTTCACAGTGTCAATGCTGTCGTTGCTATGCTCGGTTATGTCGCAAAAAGACTACTCGGGCCACTCAGCGGCTAAGCTAATGGATCAGTTCGACATCTTCTGTAAGTACTTAGATCTTAATCGTGCCCCTGATGAATACTGGCTGATATGACCTAGCGCCTGCAAAACACGTCGTCGAGTATAGCCACACAAAGTTTGAACTACCCAACCCTTTGAACTCTTCGAAGTATGTCGGTATTACCGATGATGTAGAGAACGCATGGATGGACGTCGCATATCGTAAGTCACCATCCCTACTCCTCTACACCCGCGCCCTCACCACTCAAACCCCATCACTAACACAGCACAGTGCCCGACCAAATGGTCTCCATGGAAGACTTCCCCAAGCTACAAAAGCCCGCCGACGCCCTGCAAGTCACCGACCCCAAAACAGGCGAAACAGGCTATCGAGTCGGACTAGAAGTTTTCCACCAACTGCACTGCCTCAACCTCCTCCGCATGTCAACCTACCCCGACTACTACCCCAAGCTCTGGTGGAGCGACACCAACGACAAGCCTGAAAAGGTCAGGGCGCATCTAGACCACTGCATCGAGATCCTCCGCATGAACCTCATGTGTCTTTCTGACGTCAACGTCTTTACTTTCCACCCGCAGGAGGGTAAGGAGGGATACTGGCCTGACTACGAGAGTCACCATGTGTGCAGGAACTTTGACAAAATCAAGGATTGGGCCAACGACAATGCGATGCCGGACCTTGATGTGTAGGCTTGGCTTTCTTGCCGGTTGGAGACGGCGCGTGTAAATAGAATAATAGCATCGACAACACATCAACGAGTGGAGCAGCATGATCATGTAACAATTCAAATGCTCGTGATGAGTGATCGAACACCCTTGTTGCCATTGTTGCATGCTGCATGTTGTTCACTCAAGCTCTTCTTCCCCATATGAAACAGGCTGTTTCAGTTTCGCATCACAGTCCGGGTATTTCGCACCGCTTGCGCACCTTTGTTATGCAGCATCATGCTTTGTTCTTCCAACTGCTTGGGCAGAGGGCACATGAATCGCTGTCAAATCGCTTTGGTCGGTGGCTGCAACGATGACGTCCTTCCTGAGATGGGCAAGGTTATGAGCGCGAATCAGTATGTGGGTGCAAGGAAACCTGCGACGTCGGCTCGCTTTTGCACTCATGTCATCGTAGACCATTTGGCTGAACTTCAGGATGCTATGAAATACAGGCTTTTATGAGTCTAGAATGGTATGCAATGACGCCAACAAATCAGGCAGATTAGAAACTCTCTAGCGAAATAGTTCACTATGAAGCGCGAGTATGAATGCAAATAATGGACATCTAGCAATGTCAAGAGTTGGGTATATGTCAGTGACAACCAGAATGCCGCCGAAGCAGTCCACCGTCTTCTAAACGCCGGAAACCATGTCGTCCTCCCTGATGACGTGTGTTACAGGTCTAGATCCGGCATTTGTAGATCGTCGCCTGGCTCCATAAGGTTCATGAGATAGCGCGAGCCTGAGAACCAGTCCTGCATGGGATTGGAATTTCCCTGAGACGCTCCAAAACCGAAGCCGGACGAACCAACGGCATCCATGTTATTCATCGCCTCGCCTTGCTCAAACGCGGTCGTCGTGGCTGCAGTGGAAGCGTTGGGATATGTCGTGGGCCATGCGGTATCAGGCATCAATCCAAGCGCACTAAGGTACGGATCGAATTGGGACATTGCGTTGAGGTCCAGCTGCGTGCCATCAACGGTTGTATAATACCCTGACTGGTTATTTTGCATAACTCCCCGGGATCTTGACGCAGCATCCTGTTTCTTAGCCGTGACGTAGAGCCTGGCAACTCGTAGGAAAAGATGGCACATCTTGTAGAGCTTGTCTGCACCTTCGGAAATTGTGCGGCAAGATTCCAGGCTGCCGACAAATTCGGAAAGGGAGTTTAGATCTGGTTCAACGTCGGACGTATCGGCCTTTTGGATGGAGTGGCAGAATATCACAATGAAACTGCAGGTATGAGTTAGCTGCGACCGTGCGCTGGAAAGCATCAAGTGACTTACGGTGTGAACGGTGCCTGAAGAACCGACCAATGTACATATCCCGACCAGAGGTCCTCCTGACCCTTTTTGTTGAACTGTGCACTAGCCCTCATATGTGCGACAAGGGCCGCTCTCGAGGATTCGAGGCACTCCTGATTAAAGCTCATATTTCCTGGACTGACCGCGCGCTGTATGAGTGCACAGGTAGAATAGTGCATGACGACATCGGAGTGAAAGAAGATGTCTTGGACTCTCTCGAAAGAGCCTTCAACCAAGAAAGTCAGTGCAGTTCAAATCTCGCCGACGGTGAAACTTACCCTGAACGTATTCGTTGACTTCTGATCCTTGTTTACCCTGAGATTTGTGCACATATCGCTTGTATTGAGACGGGAGTGGTGTCTCATTTGGACTGTTGCCTATTTTGTTCGATCTCGGCGTACCGAGATGATACGTTTGGCCTTGTTGCGAAAAGTCGACGATCGACGCATCCCCACGCTCGTACCAGGCTTGGTTAAGACTGTTGACAAGTTCAATCGCGATTCGCGTGCGCTCTTCCGTAGATCTTGTAAAGGCGGCAGGGCAAAATAGCTTCTCGTATGTCAGGCCCTGGACTCGCGCAACCTTAATCCAGTACGACAAGAAGGCGCTTGATTCGGCGTGCTTGTCGTTAGGGTCGCTGGATACTACAAACGGTAACGATATGTCCCAGTCCTGGAGGATACTTGAGCGACCCAAACGTAGCGAAAGCGTCTTGTCAAGCATGTAGATCATCCAGAAGATATGGATCTTCGTCTGTCTGTCTTCGGGATTGTCGTCTATCATAGTGTTGATTCGATGCTAAATGCAGGACGTTAGCGGTCGTCTCACACGCATTTTGCACATGATTGCTTACATAGCCCAAGCTCTGACACAAGCCCGCAGCGCTGGATATCATGATCCAGCAAAGAGATGGCTTGCACATCTCGACCGCCTGCGCAGCGCCAAGGACCAAAGCCATAATATTCTCGTAGCTTGCCGGTAAGAATATAGCTAGCTGCGACAGTGCTACCTCTGTTTGCCTGCGACTTATGATGGCGTACGATTGATAGTTGGTGGTGTCCATATTGACTAGTGGCAAGGTCCGGAATTCGTTGAACACGTTCTCCAACACGCCGAACGTGAGCACACGGCGAGCGGCGCTACAAGTTTCTGGGTTATGATACACATCATAGAAGATCTCTTTGAGATTGGCCATTCTCAAGAACGGAAACACCACTGCGAAGGCCATAGTTGGATATTCTGGTCATGTCAGATCGGCTTGAATGGTACAAAGTCTGTAGACATACCACTAGCTTTCTCCAAAGCATAGCACGCAATTTCCCAAGGCGGTCGTTCCAGCTTCGATGGGTCAATGTCGACAAGTGACTGGTTGATCAAGGGGTTGGAAGTTGCAGGGTTTTGGCCGTGCTGAGAGACCATCTCCGAAAGAGCAGTAAGTGCCAACTTGACTTCTTCATTCTGTCCAATAGAGGGTGTACTCCCGATCGCTCGTGCCAGCATCTCGCGAGCATAGTCTGACTGGCTATTGATAGAACTCTCGCCCTCGAATGGCGCGGGTGTGGGGGCTTCGACGAGGACACTTCCAGGACTCCTTGAAGGGCCAACTCGGCTCGACCGCGATTGGCTGCTGGATTCGTGCGAGTCTTTCTGGAGGTCCAGACTGCTGAGTTTTGTTGCGAGACTTGCAAGAACATTCTCAATACCAGCTAAGCGGTCTTCAATTCTATCAATCTTCTTCTCGCTAAATCGAGTCAGCTCGAACAAGATTACTCAACGCCAGATCAGCACGATTCGATTGTTTGGCCGCGGGGCAAAGAACGGTCGACGGGTAAGGCTGACGCCACAAGCAGCGAGGTCCACTTTGGAAGCGGTTCAGACGTACTATTCTTCAGATATGTGAACCCTTTGTCGCTGCGCTTTCTGTTGAGGGGGAGCTGTTTTGCAAGCTGCCCGAATCAGCGGCAACTTCAGGTTCAAGCCAAGCAGATCATACTCAATTTGCTTGCCTTGCAGTTAGAACATGGCACGCCTCTGTCGCAACGTATCTTGCGTGTTCGGCAGGCATCGCACTAGATGTGGGTCGTCAACCTGGGCGCTGCTCTGGGTGGCTGGCTCATGCGACTTACCGCACGCTTGGACATGGGTCCATCAAGCGACGCATCCATATCGTCGTCTTCCATTTTGCCGGTTACGCAGTTCGAGCCGCGGTATTCTGCGCGTGGTGTGCAAGAGTGGCGGATATTGTGGACTTTATCGGAGCGCGGGCTTCTCGGAACCCGGGGCTGTGGGAACTATCAACGATGTCATCACTAATAGCAGAAATCTCGCGCCGACAGGCAGCAGTCCAATATCTCACCAACTAAACCTTCCAGAGTGTCGAAGATACAGGGTTTTGAAGTCTAGATGCAGCATTCGGCCTCACCAGGCATCACTACGAAGAACGCGCGATCTCGTGACTGTGCCAAGGCCCGGGACTTGCCGATTGGCTCGCATTGCTCGTATCCCGCGCCATTTGGGAAATCTTCAGCCGCTTGCGACGCGCCCTCTGATCGCCCTTTTCACCGCGGATCCGGACTTTGCAAAGTCCGGCAAACATGAGCTATGTGCGCAACTTCGACGAGATGGCTTCAGATATCAATGTGGCGCACTGCAGTCCAATCGTCCAAGGACTGCAATACTCACCCCAAACATGTCGACGAGTAAAGAAATGGTCGACACGCCCGAGCAGCGCGCCAGCGATGACGTCAAGACAAGCAAGGCGCCGACAGTCAAAAGCGATGTCACGTCTGAAGAGCCAAAGGGTGGCATGGGTGGCTACGTCGTAAGTGTATTGAACAAATTAGAAGGAACACGATGCTCACGACATACCAGCGCATCTTCAAGTATGCAGATCGTACAAGCTGGATCGTCAACACCATCGCATTCGTTGCAGCCATCGCCGCTGGAACACTGCTTCCGTTAATGTAAGAGACATGCACACATCACGATCTTTTGTCCCCTCCATCAATGTTCGAAACGTGGTTATTGCGCATTGCTAGGTATTGTTTCGTTCATGTGAAATGGTAAACATCAATGGAAAGTTGTCCGGGCCTCGCACTACGTGTCAAGGACGGTCAAAGATTCTCGCAAGACCTATCGTCGATCAATCAATAATCACACACTAACGAATCCTCCATCACACAGGGATCTGGTCTTTGGCAAGTTCATCTCGACGTTCACTGGGTTCGCGACTGGCTCGATCACGCCAGCGCAATATCGCGCTGAAGTGAACAAATACACTTTGTACTTCATCTACCTCTTTGTTGCGAAGTTTGGTCTCGTCTACATTCACTCGGTAGGTGACGAACAAGCTACATCCCTGAAAGCATGCTCACGTTCGCAGGCATTTGTTTCCATCGCAGCCATCCGCACCACCAAGGCCTTACGATTGGACTTCATTAAGAGCATTCTCCGGCAGAATATTGCATACTTCGACTCAGATGAAGCCGCTTCGGTCACGACACAGGCTACGACGAATGGAAACAACGTCAACAACGGCATATCCGAGAAGCTTACGTTGACCGTCCAGGGTGTATCGACCTTCGTCTCAGCATTCATCATTGCCTTCATCGTCCAATGGAAGCTTACCCTGATCACAATAAGCATCGTCCCAACAATCATGATAGTTGTCGGTGTCTCCATCGGCATTGATACCAAGAACGAGAACCAATTGCTACCGATATACTCCAAAGCCGGACAACTTGCGGAAGAGATTTTCTCGACTGTACGCACGGTTCATGCGTTCTGGCTTCATCCATTGCTGTCCAGCAAGTATGACAAGCTTCTTGGCGATGCCCAGGAGGTTGGTATGAAGAAGTCCCCGAACTATGCCGTCATGTTCTCAGTCGAGTTCTTCTGCATCTATGCGGGCTATGGTCTGGCCTTCTGGCAAGGCATCCGCATGTGGGCCAGGGGCGAAGTCCAAGAGAGTGGTATGTGAAGCATCGACTTGGGTGGGGATAATTCTCCGACCTGCCCGACCTTTAACACTATGTACTAATCAATGGATAGGAGACGTGTTTACTGTCATTCTTGCTGTCATCGTCGCCGCGACAGCCATGACGACAATAGCACCTCAGATCATCTCTCTGACGAAGGCCTCTTCTTCTGCCGACGAGTTGTTCAAGACCATCGATCGGAAGTCCGAGATTGATCCCTTGAATGATGATGGCAAGGTGCCTAGCCTGTGCGAAGGTGTTGTCGAGATTCGAGACGTCAGCTTTGCCTATCCCGCTCGGCCCGACATCACAGTCTTGAAGAGCTTGACGCTATCTGCGCCTGCTGGAAAGACCACAGCCCTCGTAGGAGCATCAGGTAGCGGCAAATCGACAATCATCGGCTTGATAGAGCGATGGTATGATCAGGCTAGCGGCGCCATATACCTCGATGGTACAGACATACGAGAGCTCAACCTCACCTGGCTACGAACGAATATTCGTTTAGTACAGCAGGAACCAGTGCTGTTCTCCGGTACTGTCTACGAAAACGTCGCATTCGGCTTGTTCGGCACCGACAAGGCCAACTTGCCCGAGAGCGAGCAGCGAGCGCTCGTAGAGAAGGCCTGCAAGAACGCTTATGCCGAAGAGTTCATCGAGCGGCTGCCAAAGGTGAGTCATGTTGCTCCTCAGATACTCGTCATATGGATTGTTAACGTTGAATAGGGTTATGAGACGCAGTTGGGTGAGCGTGCCATGAACCTCTCGGGCGGTCAGAAGCAACGACTAGCCATCGCGCGCAGTATCGTCTCGGAGCCGACTGTCCTTCTCTTGGATGAAGCCACCAGCGCTTTGGACCCAAAGGCAGAGAAGATCGTACAGCAAGCACTTGAGCGTGTCTCTCAAGGTCGCACAACCATCGTCATCGCTCATAAGCTTTCCACCATTCGCAATGCCGACAACATCGCAGTCATGGCTGCTGGAATTGTCGTTGAACAAGGTTCACACGACGAGCTTCTCGCTGCTGGCGGTGCATACGCTCGTCTCGTCAGAGCTCAAGACCTCGGCCAAGCAGAGGGTGAAGACCAGGAAGACCAGGACTTTGCCGCAGAGAAGATTGATCTGGTACGGACGCAGACTCAAGCATCCGCTATTGGCCAAGAAGCGAAAGCTTCCGACAAAGACGGCATCAATTACAATCTGGTGAAGTGTGCCTGGATAGTCCTCAGGGAACAGGGTGCCCTTTGGAAGTGTTTTCTGATCTTGGGAATTGCAACACTCGCTGGAGGTAAGTTGTCGACTCATTTCTTGTTCGACTGTTACTGACCTACTACAGGAGCGACCTATCCGGCTCAAGCTATCCTATTCTCTCGCGTCGTCGAAGCTTTTCAACTGTCCTCCAAGAGGGCAGTAGAACAGGGCGACTTTTACTCCTTGATGTTCTTCATTGTCGCAATCGGCAATCTTGTTGTCTATGGTGCTGTTGGCTGGGCCAGCAACGTTGTCGCCCAGGTTGTCGCCAGGGTATACAGACGCGAGATCTTTGACCTCATCCTCAAGCAAGACATGGCATTCTTCGACGATCAAGACAATGCGAGCGGCGCGCTCGCCTCGAAACTTGGAGCCTACCCTGACGCTCTACGGGATCTCATGGGCTTCAACCTGATGCTCATCTTCATCAACATCGTGAACATCGTTTCTTCCTCGATTCTTGCCATCGTGGTTGGCTGGAAGCTCGGTCTTGTAGTTGTCTTTGGAGGTCAGTATCATTTCTCAGTTCTTTCTAGTAATCGACACTGACTTGGCGCAGCTATGCCTCCAATCGTGTTTTCTGGGTACCTCAGGATTCGACTTGAATTCAAGCTAGAAGATCTCACGGGCAAACGCTTCGCCAGCAGCGCTGCTCTCGCATCCGAAGCAGTCTCCGCCATTCGCACAGTCTCCAGTCTCGCGCTCGAAAGACACATCCTCGCCCGGTACGAAGATCGACTACAAGGTGTCGCAAGAGACGGTATCAAAGCTTTGGTGTGGACCATGTTCTGGTACGCACTGACGCAGTCCATCTCATTCTTGGCAATGGCCCTGGGCTTCTGGTACGGCGGCCGGCTGATTAGCACGGGAGAATACACGACTACCCAATTCTTCACGGTCTTCATCGGTGTCATTTTCTCTGGAGAAGCAGCTGCAGCCTTCTTCTCTTACACTACGAGTCTCACAAAGTCAGCCACTGCGGCCAACTACGTTTTTCGGTTGCGGGCAATGAAGCCTGCAGTGCAGGAAGACGCATCAAAGCCGCCATTTGACGACGAGAAGGACAAGAGTCCAGCGCACATTGAGGTGCAGGACCTTGCTTTTGCGTACAAGTCTCGGCCCCACGCCAAGGTCCTGGAAGGCATCGATATTGATGTGCGGCCCGGTCGGTTCATTGCTCTCGTCGGCGCTTCAGGCTGCGGGAAGTCAACAATGGTTTCGCTCTTGGAGAGGTTCTATGATCCCGTTACGGGGCGTATCAGCTGTGATGGCGCTCCGTTGATGGACCTCTGTCCACGCAAGTACCGTCGAGGTGTGTCTTTGGTCCAGCAAGAGCCAGTCTTGTATCAAGGCTCGGTCCGGGACAACATCGCCATGGGTGTTGAAGTCGACGTGACTGACGCTCAGGTCGAAGCCGCAGCCAAGCAGTCGAACATATCCGACTTCGTTGCATCTCTGCCAAACGGCTTCGCGACGATGTGCGGTAGTAGAGGCACGCAACTATCGGGTGGGCAGCGCCAGCGTATCGCCATCGCCAGAGCACTCATACGCGAGCCACGCCTACTGCTTCTTGATGAAGCTACTTCCGCATTAGATACTGAATCCGAGAGGGTAGTTCAGGCGGCGCTCGAGGAAGCGCAGAGTGGACGTACAACTGTCGCGGTGGCGCATCGTCTCAGTACTATCAAAGATGCGGACATGATCATGGTGTTCGCGAGGGGAAAGATTGTGGAAAGTGGCACACATCAAGAACTGCTTGACAAGAAGGGTGTGTACTACGAGATGTGCTTGGGCCAAAGTATGGATCGGGCGGTTCCGACATGACGTTCGAAGCACGGCTCATCATTTCCTCTTCATCTGCACTATGATCGTAAATAGAACCTTTGATAGACCTTGCGATACGTAATATACCCATCTTCAATATTCGACTTGAGGCTGCTGATGTCAATCTGGAA